GTGGAGGGGGACGCCCAGGAGCCCGGGGACGAGTTCTTCAACATGCTCATGAAGTGTCAGGTACCAGCGTGGGGCTGGGGGGGACACTAGTTTCTCCCAGACAAACACCATCCCCTGATCCCACCCACAGCCCTGGGCACCCAGGCAGGCACTTGTCTTTGCCTTTGGGTCCTTTCCACCCAGTACCAAGGGCTGTGCGTTGTCACAGCCCTGCAGAACCCACCTTCCCCGTGGTGCCCACAGCCCAGCCCTGGGTCACTGCTCCTCCCTGCTGCTGGAGCCCGCAGTGGGGTGTGGCACTGCTGCTCCTGCTGCCCTGCGCCCCGGACCGGGAGCTCGTGCTGCGGGCGCTGCTCCCTGCCCTCTACTCCCACAACAGGACTGTCCTGTCGGCACCCGGCCCTAACGCCCGCTCTCCTCCCCATGCAGTCCTCCAGGATAGACGACCAGCGCTGCGCACCGCCGGACTCCATTCCCCGAGGCCCCACCATGCCAGACGAAGACTTTTTCAGCCTCATCCAGCGCGTCCAGGCCAAACGCATGGACGAGCAGCGGGTCGATTTGGCCTCAGCCCAGGAGGAGGCAGCGGAGGAGCCGCAGAGGCCTGGTTCCAGCTAAGAACTGGGGTTTGGTTTGGGGGGGGTGTTTTGGTTTCATTTTGGTTTTTAAAAAGAAAAAAAAGTGTAGGTGGTATCAAACCTGGGCACTCCTGCGCTACCACAGACTTCTCCCAGGAGCTGCCCTCGGGACGTGGGGAGCAGCACCTCTGTCGTGGCACCTGGCTGCTCTGCAGAGGCAGTGTTACAGGAAGGCCCACCGGATGGGGGACGGTTTTTAAACAAGGGGGTTTTTAGGACACACAGCCACTGTAACACTGGGCACAGCACGAGGGAAGATGACTTTGGCAGCCCCTTTGCTTCTCACCTAAAACTCCAGGAACTTGTGCTGTCGCCAAAGGAGGAGCCCAGAGCAGGTACTTAACTCCAGCCTTGACGTCTTTTATTTCTACAACACTTCTCATTTAACGGGGGAAGGGAAGAGCACCTTTTCCATTTTGAAGTCCTCCTGTCTTGCCTGCATCACGAGCTGACACAAGTTGCTCTGGATCCTCCCCTGGAATGTCGTGCTCAGCTTTGTTCTTTCTACAGGAGGAAATGAGCCCAAGTCAGAGGCTACACCCGTCCTTTAAACCTCACCCCTGCCCCAGCTGCAGTCACGGTCCCACACACCTTACAGTTTATTTTAGGTTTGCTGAAGACTCTGCAGCGAGCGCTGTGCCACCCCCTCTGCCTCCCCAGCCGCAGCCCTGTGCAGAGCTGTACCAAAGCCCTGCCCGCCCTGAGCTGCGGGGGGTTCGGTTACCTCTAGAGCACAGCCGTGCAGCAGCCCAGCTTCGGCCTGGGACGGAGCCGGGAAGGAAACTGCCCGCTGTGCACAACTGCCGGCCTGAGAGAGGGGCCTGTGCCTGGGAAGGGAGGATGGAAGTCTCTCTGCTCAGCACAAGGCATCCCTGGACAACTCATCGCTTCTGGTGCTGCAGGGCCAGGAGCCTCGTGCAGGACTGTCCTGTGTGTAGGTGAGTGCGCCTGGGGCAGACGTCTGCCTTCAGCAATGACCTGCAGCAAAAGCCAGCAACCTTTCCTGGCCACGGCGTGTCAGGAGAGCAAGCAGAACCATCCCTCCTCCCTTCTGTGTCCAGCAGCACTCGGGGTCACAGCCCCCTTCCCTCCTCGGTTCTCCCACAGCCCGTGCTGAGCTGCTCCCATCCCCACAGGCCCCGGCAGAGCTGCTCTCACAGAGGTGCTCCTGTGTCGCCCAGTCTGTCTCCAGTACACGAAGCCTCACACGAGCTCCAGCCTGGGGTGCTGGCTGGGAGGTAGATCCACCCCACTCACAAGTGCAAGAGTCTAGATTTACTTTAATTTGTTCCCTTCTGGAACACTTGGAAATGCAAGCCCAGGAGGAGGGGAGCAGGGGTTCAGGAGGTGGAGTGGTGTTTTCTCTTTTGACCAGATCGGCTGTCCTGGACTTCAGAAACTCCAGTGCCGAGTTCTGCCAAAGCCGGTACGTTCCTATAGAGAACAAATCAGCACTTTCTATTTGAAATGCATTCTATGGAAACATTTCCAACCAGCAGTAAGATTTTCAGACCAGTGATGCTGCTCATCAGGCCCTAACCTGCCTGCACTGACTGTGTGGAGGGGTGGCTGCGTCCCACCTGCTGCCAGGGAGCACTCGACACTGCTGCAGGGATTGCTCGGCTGCAGCTCAGCCTCCTTTCTGGGGCTGCTCAGAGCTCTGGAGAAGGGACGGGAGGACCTGCCCAGCCCCCTACCTAGCGACCCAGCTTGCATTTGTAAAGAGGAGGAAAACATTGACGATAAACATGAACTAGGCCAGCTGCAGGCTCGGGGCTGTGCAGCTCCCAGCCATGTGTTGAACTGGAATCTGACCGTTAAGCTTTCAGAGGTGTTAATTATTTGCCATATACTTGAATGTATGAGCTTATTTATTTTTTACATGTGCATTTGCTAATGTCATTTTAATGGGGACTTTCCAACCCACAGGTACTTTTTTTTCTAAAAAGAAAAAAATAATCTGCCAAATGAATTAATATATTAGAAATGAATACAGCTCAAGGGAAGGGGGGGGGTTGTGCTTAATAAATATTTGTGTCTAAGCTTCAGTGACAAAAATTCATTTGCATTATTTCTTGGCCAGCCTGCCTGCTTTGCTGACAGCAGAGTGTTTGGAATGGGGGGGGGGGGGGGGGGGGGCTCTGGGGGGAAACCA